TTGGACCAAACCCATAAGTATCTCAGAGGGCTCTTGCTTTTTTTTTTGTTGTTGTTTTTTTAATTGCTGTTGTTATTATTTGTTATATATGAAGGTACTGAGATCAAATGGCCTGTATCATCCACATGCATCCGTTCTGAACACTACAATGCAATGCTGACCATGGTCACTTTTGATATTGACTGTATTGGTTTGTTTGTTACTTTGAAGTGTGTATGCTACTAAATAAATGAGACTGAAGGAAAAAAGACATCCACTGTGATTTGGTCACAGGACAGTAATATCTTCAAGGAGCTCCTTAGGGAAGGGAGAAAACCTATTTATTTTAGTGTTTCTTGTGCTCTTAGTCTTTAACATCTAATACTTCCTAAAACAAAACCAGTTCTAAAACCTCTAGAAGCTAACACTGGAGCTTGGTTCCAAAACCCATTAGGTACCTTTGTTTTAGAACCTGATCCGTGCACAACTTGACAGCTTTCTCTGAGGTAAGCTCTGTCTCAAAAATCTCAGTTCTGTCTTGTTTTATTCCTGCAGCATATACAAATATGGTGCTTCAAAAGGCACTTGGCAGACTCAGAGCAGTTGACTGTCCAGCAGGGCAGTTTTTGTGTGGCAGCAGGAAAAAAAGCAGTCAGCCCTCCAGGCCTGGCAACATCTCTTTGAGAGAGCAAGCAGCCTCTTCCCTGTGTGCAGAGAGGACTTAGGAGAGAGAGAGAAGCCAACAGCCACCACCAGTGTCATTTTATTTTGTGTTGCAGATACAGAAGTATACACTTGTCCTGCTTTAAATTGCATAGAAGCAGGCATGTCATCTACTTATGTACCGTGGCCACCCAGAAGGGTAAGTTGACCAAGGAGTGCTGCCATGGTCAGAGGTAATGACACATCAAAACCAGTCTAATTAGATGAAAAAGTCACATGACGAGGTGGGAAGATGTTGGTGATGCCATGTTTGATGTCTCTGCATCAGATTGAAAAGGGTAGGCAGCCAGGAGGAGAGAGAACAGCCATGCCTACAGGAGAAACTGTCTCACGGAGCTCTGCTGCTCTAGGGTCTGAGGAGGTGTGGTCCACATGGCTGTGGAGATGCAGATACAGTGGGGAAAACTGCTCCCAGCTCTTTCCAGGAGGTTGGGGGAGGGTGGTGGAGCTGGCATAAGTTATGCTTGAGAAGCCCAAAAGTACTTCATGAGCCTTGTGAGGCTTTCTTAGCACACGTTTGCCCACTGGCACATCAGTGGAGAACTTACCTCAGGAAAAGGATTGATATTGAGGGGGGACACCTTAAATCTGTGCAGCTAAAAAATTCTGGTTCTTTAAAGAGAAAAATGAAGATACAAAACACTTGAGGAGAGAAAAGATGAAGAAATCAGAAGCAAGTGTATCAACAAATGTGAAAAGAAAGCAGAGAAAGACAAAGTGAAGTTTGTATTACTATTTCATCTTTTGTTATTCAGTCCCCTCTCCATCTTGTTTCATACAACCTCATACCTACATTTTAAAGTACTAGTGCTGAGCCTGGAAGAAGAAAACCCCAACAACTCTATACACACAAATCTAAAACCAAGTTGGTAACATGTTAAGACAGGCACCCATGAGAAAAAGCAATTTATAATAATCCTATAAATGGTTGATTATTGACTGGGGAAGTGTTGGAAGACTTTTCATGTGGCTTACAGGACTCAATCAATCCCAGATACCCAGCTCATTCCTCTAGGAAGCAAATCAGGTTTTGGCTTTCAGTTGCCAAACTTCCAGTTGCTGAAGTGTCTAATTTTGATACTATGGATTCAACTCCTTGCTTATGCGTGCCTCCCTAAAAACACAATTTTCAGCAAGTTTTATTTTGAAGTGGTAGCACTTGAGCACAATGAAATTTGTGATTGTGTAAACAGTAAGTTTCAGTGTCAGAACTGTAGGACAAGGCTGTAGTACACGTCATTACTATTGTTATTTTTTCTTTTTGGGTAGTATGGTTTGGACAGCAGGTACCATTTCAGCATCACGACAGGAGCAATATTGTTTGCTCAATTAAATTAGCTGTTGTAAACCAGCAAAGTAGGTCTAGGACATATAAATAATCACTGCATGCTCACTCTACTCTTGCAGTTACCCTTCAAGAACCCACTGTTGGAGATAAGTTACTGGGCAGGATGGGGTTTTACTCTGGCTCAGTGGAACTTTGTCTATGTTCTTCCTGTAAATAAGTACCTTGATGCAGCTATTCAGAGAAGACAGCTATTTGTCCAAGGTGCTGGACTGAAGAACTTGCATTTTGTTTTTAAAATGCATAGCTGCACCTAAGACTGGCTGTGACACTGGTAATAGAACTGCACTCTTCTCTCCCTTCACTTCTCAGTGGCTCTCCCTAGTTCTGTCACTATTGGCCTTTCTAAATTAGTGACTTATGTAGAGGCACACGCTGTGTATGGGGCAGTGGCAGGTCAAGCTGGGTAACCATAGGGACAGCAGGGATCCTGCCTGCTTCTCACTGAAATTTGAGGTTATTGTATAGTCATTACCACATGGAAAAAAAAAATAGAGACCTGTCTCATGCCTGCTACTGTATAAAAGCTCTGGAGGAAGCAGAGGTGGCATCATTAACTTCCCATGGCTTCTGATCAACTATTTCACTCCTCTCTCACCACCAGTTTGCCACCCATGCCAATGAAAAGCAGAGTTGGAGTGAGGCTGCAGAAGCATGGCCATGACCACCAGCACTCTGCTTGGGATGGAGCCTGTTACAGACACAGCTTGGAAAGGGGTCTGGTGTCCTGGCCCCTGCCCCTGAATTAGGGGTCACTACACACTGCTGTCACCTTATCACACAGGCACAGGGGATAAATGCATAAACCATAGGACCGGCATAATCCAAAATGCTGAAGGATTAACAAAGGATGTTGAAGATTAACTGGTGTTACTCCAGTTAGCAAACTGTAGATGTATTTATTTTTGACTAGCATGTTCCAGAGGAGGCCAGCCTGAGGCATGACCAAAACTGTTAGGCTCTGCAAGAGGGAAGAAAGAACATTTCTTGCTAATGCTTTCCTGCCTCATCTGACTGGGCTGTAGCAGCTCCTGTATGTAAACTAGGACGTGCAATGAGCTAAATATGACAGAAGCCAGAGAGCTAAAGCAAAAATGAAATGGAAAGAAGGGCATGAGGCAAGGGCAACCCTCTCCCTTGGTCACTAAGCCTATCAGTCTCCACCCCAGTCCTGGAATTTGCCCGTAGAGAGCAGAACCTCTCAGTTCTGACTGTCTGTCATCTCATAATGTAGATTGGGATTTTTTTCCATACCCTACAGCTCATTGCTGAAAGGTGGCCATCATCACCCTTCAGGGCTGGAAACGATGGTATCTAAAACTATTCATTCTAAAGCCAAAGGCCTAAAACTAGTGCAAGCTCAGAACAAAGTCAGACCAACAAATCATAAACCTGAGCTAATTTTCCACTCTAGGTTGGCACCACACCATTCAGGAGTGGAGCAAGGACAAAATGCTTCTGAGACTGTTCAGGCTTAATCCAAATTATTTACTTTTACAGTAATGAATTGTTTTGCAGGCTTTAGACAGCAGCCAGTTTAGACCCTAAGCAACAGAAAAAATACCTTAGAAATGAACTGTCTTCAAAACCAACAACTACCTTTACCAGAAATTCTGCTTGCAAGGTGAGTAGAAGTGATGACCTACTCACGTGTGTGAAACCAAGTCATGATTTCAGCTTTTTCAAATGGTTGAGTTATTCTACCTTCCCCTTCACTCTGCCTCTCCCTTGCATTGCTTTGTTTCTACCTCAGAGGAATAGGTATTAAACCCAAGAACTCCAGTGTGCCAAATGCTGGACAGTTAACCCAATAATCTCAGCTTAATGCTTACCACCATAGCACAGGGAATGACTGCTGAACGACAAAGTACTTACAAAAATGAAGTTCATCTCAAGTAAAGTCCTTTAAAAGATAAAGACAGTCCAGTTCTCATCACTCCATGCAGCTCACCCTTTCCTGAAAAGCCACTTGCCCCTTCCAGGCCAGGAGCTGAGAGGAGCATGACACCATGAGGAGAGCAGCACATTTCCTTCACTATTCAAAGGGATACTATCAGCTCCACCAACTATTTTTTATTTTAGCAGTAAATTTGTTTTCCTCTTCATTGCTTGTTTTCAAAGCACGTGCTCAGAGGAGCCTGGATTTTTTTTAATTTTATTTTGTTTTTCTTTAAATCCTTCCTTGGTGCTTCCATTTTGAGCAGTAACTGAATTTCCATATTTTTCCACAGGGTCTGCTAATAAAACAGATGTAAATGTGGCTGTTATTTATTGACTTCCCTTGCAGTGCATGAGCATCATTAGTAAGTCATCAGGACTGTAAAAAAAAAGCTCTGGGGAATATAGGCAGCCTTTGCAAGTGGGTTGCTGCTGGCCCAGCATGAGTTTTTGGTTTCTTCAGTCAGAAAGAAGAGCAGCCTGTGTTGGTCATTGGTTCCACCCAAATGCTGTGGTTGGATGGTAGGTCCATTTCTTTTCACCTGAGCAAATTGAGGAGTCCTTTTGTGGAGTAGTGTGTTCTGAATCAGAGCAGCAATGCCATTTTTCTCCGTTTCTAAGCTGGTTCAGTGAAACACATTTGATAGACAGAGATAGAAACGCAACTGTCTTTAATGATCTGGGGATCTGGCAGGTAGAAGGAGGAAGTAGAACATTGCTGATGTTGAAACATCACCCATCTGAAGGAACTTGAATGGAGGAAGTAAGTGAAATAGGAAGCAGTCCTTCCAGACACACACATTCCCTGACCTTTGGAAGATCTGTTTATATTATACTGGCGTAACACTCAGGTCATCTGACAGAGACAGACCAGAGTCCCTCTCTCTTGCTGTTTTCTCTGTTTTATGGAAAGGCTTTTCATCTCTGTGGAGACTGGAGCTCCTTAGCACGGCTGCTCTGACCTCTGCCACAGCCGACGGCTGGTGGTCAGTGCTACAGCACAGGTCATCGTAAGCATAATTTACATTGCCACAGGGGAAAGTTTGGAGTTTCACCAGTTCAATCCCACCAATATCCAGGTGAGGGCAGTTGCTTCGGCTTGGAGATGCTGGAGATGCCCGAGAGCTAGGAGAAGAGCTGCAATTCCCATCAAAGCCCGAATCTTCCCGCTCCGGAGTTGTTTTCAGCTTGGAGCTGGGGCTGAAGTGACAGATGTTCTCTAGCACCCATGATCCATAGGTTGGGTTCCAAAGATTTTTTGTTTTATTTTTCAGTCTGTGGGTTGGTGGATTGCTGAGCTCCAACTTCTGGTTCAGGGTCTGCTGGAACCAGGACCCACTGTTGAAATCGCTGAGGCACGGCAGGCTGGGCCCTTGAGCAGTCTGGTTGCTCAGGTTCTCCACCATTAGCTCTTGTGGACATTGCACAAGTTTGTGCCCAGCATGGTGGGAGTTCAGTGTCTTAGGTGTTGTCTGGGGTGTGAGAGAAGGGCTTACCAGCAAGGGCACTATCCCACTGGAGATGTTTGGACGCATGACTGTACTCCCTTCATCCTCTGGTGTGGGGCCACACTCCATGGGCAGCTCAGTGTTGATCACATCAGGGTCCTGAAAAAGAGACACGAGCCTGGTCCACCCTGAGCATCATCTCCAGGGTGACCGTCACACTACCTGCATTTTAAGAGAAACAGATGAAAGGGGAAAAGCTTTTGGCAGAAGCTGCCATCAGGTGTGGGCAATATTCCTGCAGGTCGTACAAGGTGCTGTGTGCCATCTGGACAGCTCGTGCTGTTGGGACTTGCCAAAATGCCCTCTCGTCTGCCTGCTTCCTTTGAGTAGAGGCTGTGCTTCAGTAAAATCAGTGGCTAGGCTGGGGAGGGTGACCAGTACATAATTTCTCCCTCAGGAGGTTGGATCCAGGCCTGTAGCTGTGAAATGCTACCAGATGGTGAACCCACCATGCCATCTCATTCGTCCCCTCCTCTCCAAAGCTATTCAGCTGTGGGTTTTTTTCATACAACATTAGGCAAGGTCAGAATATGGACCTTGAAAGAGATTCTAAGTACTTTTCCATCCCCAAAAGGACATTTTGCTACTGCACAGGCTGAGAGCTGAAAGCATTGACTTGCACAGGAGCAGTATTAATCTCATTTTGGTTGGGCTGAAGATGGGAGGGTGAGGATGGATACTGGAAAACCCAGATGAAAAGAGCAGTTGAGCTACCAGCACCACCACAAATGGGGAAGTAATTAGATCAGTCTGTCAGCACTCCTCACTTGTTTAGGGCACTAAAGCTAAAGTTGGCATTCCATGGGTTATTCTCCACCTGGACACCAAAGACCAGTACCTGTGTGCAGTACTTGATTCTTTCCAGGATTGTGGAGAAGTTGGGCCGATACTCTGGGCTGTGCTGCCAGCACTGTGTCATGATCCGGTACCTGAAAATAAGTTAAAAACCCCCAGAATCAGTAAAGGAAGATAATTATGGAAGATGTATTTCAGTATGAAGTGATCATGGGTCCAGAAGAACTGTACTCAGTACATGGCCCACAGGAGGAGAGCAAAAGTGGACATGTCATTTCTTCATCCTTGGATACTGAGCTTAAAGCAAATCCTGTGGTGCTCTAACCTATTCACAAGAGGCAGTGGCTCAAGAGACAGCCAAGAACACCCACCTAACACCATTCCCTGACTAAAGGTGTCTGGTTGCCTTTGTCTAACCTGTTTGATACCCTTGTGGGAGTACAAAAAGACTTACACTGGTCCTGGACAGTTTTTTGGTGGATCCATTCTTCCTCCACTGGTGACAAATTCCAGCACTTCTTGATTGGTTTTGCAAGGGTAGGGCATGTAGCCTAGAGAAAAGATCTCCCAAAGCAGCACACCAAAGGACCTGTGTCAGAAACCAGCCAACAATTCCAATTAAGTGTTATTTGTGCTCCACAAACCTGGCACAAAGCTGTGCAATTAATGTCACGGCAACGACCTTTCAAAGCTGTAGGCCAACCACAGTAATATGCAATTAGTGTGATGATGTAAAAACTTTGATGTAAAAAACCCTGATCAATTCAAAACCTTTGATCAAGCTCCAAAACTGACTTTGCAGAGGTTTCAAAACATTTTAATAGCTCTGAAATTGTTCTTTCTGCTGCATTCATTATTTCTGGAGCAGGAGACACCAGATCACCCTGTGCTGTGTATGGTCTAACTGAAAAGAACTTACATCTGGCATGGAGATTCCTGCCTTTCTTTGGAAGATTCAAGATGTTTGAACCATTGTTTTGGATCAGGATGCCCGAGAATAAAATCAGTTAAGAGACATCTAGTGAAACTGAAAGGCAGCAGCATTAATTTTTGTCATGATACAGTTGCTGAAAAACGCTGAAAACAACGTAGGACTTGACCGGGGTGTCAAGAGGGTTCTACCAGAACTTCAGCAGGGTCAGAATTTGGCTGCAAAGGTGGAAGAAGTTTCCACTACACAGATGTTATTTCTGATAGCCTGTTACAGGAACTGCAGCACTTTCCTTCCAAATATTTAGTGGGGGCTGCTGAGAGTCAGGCGCCGATAAGCGATCCCGTGTCTTCCGGCACCACCAACAGCTTCAGGAAACTGGGTCAGTGTGGCATTCAAGGGGCTGGCTCCGTACAGTACACTGAAGAATCTACTGTACACAGGGAGAGAGGCGTTCTGAAGCAGCTGGAAAGCCTCCATCCCCCAGCACCTCTGCCTGAATGTGCTACCACCGAGGAGGTGCTTATTTTAAACAAAGATCAAGGGACATGAGGAATCGTTATATAAATATTGTTTCCTCAGCAACCAGCAAGGACTTCTGATTAAATCTGCTGTCGTTTTATGTACAACAGAACAAAAATACATACAGAAGGGTAGTTCTGGGTGGTTCACAGTGAGTAATATACAACATATATAAGCAGGCCTTGTCACTGATAGATAATGAGTGGCAGATGAGGGTTGGGGGAAGTATCTGATGGTATTGGTCTGGATTTTTAACAGAGACTTCTTGGGATTCTAAACAGCTTTCTCTTCTCACTCCTTGATTGCCTTTCTATGATACTCTACATTTATGCATAGAAAATTTTTATTACCTCCATTTCCATTAGATTTTTAAATTCTTATTCAGAATTCTTTAGCTGTACTCCTCCTGAACGCAGAGGGAAGGCTTTTAAATGTTGTCCTGAGAAATTTTGACATTTGTTAGGCCTCCTGCTGAGCAGATATTTTTTTCCTTGAGCAGTACATTTCTTGACCCTTATCACTTAGCAGCAGAAGTGATTAAAAGGCATTTGTTACCAGGTATCAGTCTTGGAGGTGAAAATTCCCTCTAGAAAAGCTTCTGGTGGCATCCACTTGACAGGAAGCATGGCTCTTCCTCCTTTGCGGTAGTAACTTGCTCTGGGAAAGATAAAAACACCCTGAGAATGTCACACACTCTGAAAGGGCTCCTATAAAAGATCTTATCACCACAGCAACGGCAGCTGCATGTGGCCATGGGGGTCAGGGAAGAGAAAAAGGAAAAGTTCTCCACACAAGTAGTGCATTGAATCAGTAGTTGGTACCTTCTTTGCCACTGGGATGGAAACTGAGGATGTTGTAGGTGCACAGTGAAGACATCAAATTCACTGCTGATACAGCAGGTCTTCTTGAGAAAAGAGGGTTATGCTTGGGTTTGGTTTGTTGTTGTTTTTTTTTTTTTAAATTTAAGGTTATTTATGATCAACTAGCTAATAAATTTGGCAGTGCTTGGTTTAGCGTTCCCTGGGGTCCAGTCTGGAATAAACACAGTTGACTAGTAGGCATAGATGTGTTAATTTACAGTCTGTTAACTCCAATTAGTTAACTGGTAATCAAATTTAGACATGTAATGGATGGTTCCACTGCTTCAGATTCCATAAGACAGTTCAAACTGGTCAAAATTACACAGATTATTGAGTTATTCACAGAACTGAAGTGGCTTTTCACTTACCTGTAAATATCTCTGGCCATCCCAAAGTCACCAATCTTGGCTATTCGTCCTGCTCCAGTGCAGGTCAAAAGGCAATTCCTTGCAGCTATATCTCTTAAAAAAAAATAAAAATATCCAATTCTAAACTCTAAAGTAACTAAAAGAATAAGGAAAGGATATTAGACTCAGTCATCCAAGTTAGTTGAGTCATCTTCACACAAATGAGAAGAGCCTTATACGAAATAAGAACTAATGCCAACTGCATTATCATTTTTATTAACCACAATTCTTAAACTACATTTATATTACATTTTCTACCCAGCTTTTGCCAAGCATTCCTTGCTCCCATCTCCTTTCACTAAGGCAGAAAGCAGGATCAGTGTCAGACCAGGGACAGATCCTCTTTTGCTTATATGACGTTACGATGGATTTCTTTCTTGCTGTGTTTTTTCTAAGACTGGCATCTCAGCAGTGTCTCCATCAGTTACAGATGTGACACTGTTGGGTAGTCTTAGCAAAGTCCTTGAAAAGTCAATGTAGGATTCTGCAAACTGTTGCTTTGTTGGTTTTGGCTATCTCCTGTGTAACCAAGGACAGCTATATAGGGGAGCAGCCGTCTGCTGGGTGCAGGTTTAGCTTGGGACAAATGGCAGGGATGACTGCACGGCCAAGCCTGAAGGATCTGTGTTCATTTTAGATACACATTCTGAAAAGGAACTCATTAGAAATCATAGCACTGTGGGGGGTCCTGTTAACTGCCAAGAAAAGTGATCTCCTTCAGCAAGTCATGCATTTCTTCCCACTGCCAGTCTTGAGAAGTCCCTCAGGGTTTGGAAATCAAGCTCAGCTTTCTCTTCCTGTGACTCCTAGATGACAAGACCTGCTCTTAGTGACAACTCCACAACCCCACTACATGACCTTTTCCCCCTAAGACACCTGTTACCTGTAGTGATAAGCTTTTTCCCTTTCTGACCCACACTAAGTAATACTGACATCACTAACAAATCCTACTAGAGAACCTGGATGAAAATCCTTCTATACTAATTTCCAGAATTCTTGCCAAAAGAAACCAAGTTTATTCCCAGGTTGCCTCTACTAGAGGTCCAACAATGCAAAAACTGACCTAGAAAGTTTTTTAAAAAGTGATATGCTGCTGTAAAAAAGAGTCAAGCACTAGTTTCTTCCACTCCTCTCCTGAAATGGAGATTGGTCTTGAGCTATAACAGCTTGCCTGTCCATTTGTGGACAGAAATGTCAGAAACTTAATGCAATAACTGCTGGGCTCAGTGACACAGAGTAAGAAAACCAGGGAACATCTGCCTGAGAGGAGAAAAGAAAATTGGTTTTATCTAGCACTTAGGAAGAAAATTTCTGTTGGGTTTCTGCTGGGCTTTTGCAGCACAAGCAAAAATTGGCCCTTATAGTAAATTCAATAGATCAGGGTGGATGGAGCTGGATGAAGGATATGACTGTTAGAGTAAGGATTTTTAAAAAATAATGCTGTAGTGATTACCTCTGACATTTCCAATGAGAATACTAATCTCCTGTACTTATTAAGAGATCCAAAAGCCAAAACTTGTTTCACTCTTACTACTCTTTTTTAATGACAGAATAGTCCAATTTTTTTTTTCCAAATAACTTATTTATTATTCCAGTATGAAAGAACCTGAAAAACTGTCTCAGATGCTCTAATCATAAAGCTCCAACGTATCCCATATCTCAGTCCCATGGCTTTTTGCTCTGATTTTTTGCTTGCCACTTATTTCTCTCAGTTTCTCCAGCCTCTACACACTTTTAGAGACTAGTTGTCTACTTGCACAGCTCCAGGCTGCATGTTGGTTTAGTTAGAGCCTGTGTGAGCCTCTTGTGTGCAGCCCCATCCTTCCCTTTACACACAAGGGCTGAATTCAGCACAGAGTTCATACTCAGGAAGGAATTTTCTTGCATGCTGTGCTTGGGGAACATTAGGAGCTGAAACAACTCTTAATCAGAAGCAAAATAGTCCAAGTGGGGTTTTTAAAAGGCTATCTATAATAATCTTTACCTCCTCTATTTTATTTTGGTTTTATTTGAAGCCTGCCATATCAACATTTTTTTTTTTGGTCAACAAAAGAGGAAAAGGAAGAGTAAACAGACAAATATGTGCTCCCCAAGAGCACCCAGGACAGCTGCTAAGCTGGGAAGAAAGCTGTAGTGTTGGGATTTGACCTCTTATCCATGTTCTACTCTTCTCTAGTCAATGGCTCAAATGTGATGGGCTGTCCTGTGCTGATGGGGTCGAGATAGGGAGATCAGAAAAGAATTAGAACTTGTTTTATGAGCTAACACAGAGTGACACTACCATCTAGTGGACTACAGGGCTAATCTCAGATGTTCTACATCACAGGCACCCAAAAATCAACACGTGATCACTGCGATCAGAGGTTCCCTCTTCCCCAGCAGTGCAAAGAGCAGTGCAGAGCTTAACTGCAACCAGTGAGGCCAGCCCAGACACCAAAGCACAGGCCTGTATTGGTAGAGGAAACCTCCATCTCCATCTCCCCCTTTGGAGATCTGTTCTGATCCACTTCAGATAGAAACTGCGTGAGCCTCACGCACCTTGGGACATCTCAGAAGGGACTGTTTCTCCTCACCTGTGGATGAAATGATTCTCTTCCAGGTATTTACAGCCACAGGCAATATCTCTGGCTATGTTCA